AACTCACACCTCTACGCTTCCTCCTGCCCAAAATACAATCAAAGTGAAGGATAATTTAGCTTGTAAATACAACACACTCTTCTGAGAATTTCCATATCTAAGACAACACCAGAAATGCGATATAATATGTACCGAGACAGCTAATGTAGATCCTTTGAGAGCATATGTCCACCACAACAGCTCGCACTGAAGCCTGTTCTAATGGTCTTACTCGTCTACATGGGGAAGGCTCCCCAGTTTCTGCGAATGGCACTGTGACCAGCTCACCCAGTGCTGCCCCCAAAATACCAGCTGCCACACTGAGACAGAAGAAGAAGAAGATCCTCCAAAATGCCGATTTTCATAAGCACCTCATGGATCCCTGGTGCTGTACCCAGGGCAAAGGAACGTGTCTACTGCCACATGTCACCCCCTGGAGACCTGCCTGGAGTTGAGGTCCTCTAGCACACACACCATCCCTGGAGGCCACCAGTGCTCATGGCCCTCATTGCCTTTTGGCAGTCACCAATCCATCCCATCTAATTAAGAGAAGTCAAGCAGCAAACTAACAAGCTCCAAACTCATTGCATTCAGAATGGGTTTGTAAGTAGCTTCTACTTTCCGACACAAGATTTGATGTTGGAATCTAAATCATACCTCCTGCCTTTCCAAATGTGACATTTTATCCCCTTCCACCTCATCCTCTCCATTCCTGCCCTATATCAAGGATGAAATTTCCTTGCTGCTTGACCCCTTGGGATAGACTGAGCTCAAAACACACGGAAAAAAATCACTCAGAAACAGCTTAAATGCTAACAGAAATCTCCATACCTCTTTGTAATTCCAAGAAAATACTGGTTTACTCTTAAAGAATAAGAGAGTCCCTCTAAGCTGTCATCCTACAGCAGGTCTACTCCAGAGCATTGGCTTCCTTGCACCACCGGCCAGAGCGCTGACCCACGGGCAAGGTGTACGTACTGCCATGGTGAGACCTTGAGAGGGATATGGAGCCGGCAAGGGACAAAGGACAGGAAAAAAAAGCACCTCTGAATTTTTAGCATTTGTCACCCAAGTTCACATATATGCGGGAAATGAAAAAAAACCCAACAGGCTTAAGCAACAAAAAGTAAGTCTGAGTTTCTGCAGTCGCTTTAGGCAGCTAAGGCAATGCACGTTTTTGCAGATAAAAATTTTACATGTGATTCTATTTATTTTTTTTTCCTTCCAGCTCTGATATTGTTTAATGCTTCAGCATGGAACAAATACAGTAAAAAATGCACATTAACACAGCAATAGGAAAATAGTCACATAAGGAATAAATCCTAGAAGACTGCAGAGACAAAGAAAAAGCGTGGTGAGCCCCAGGCGAGTAAGTGTTAACATTCACAGACCACAAAGACCCTGCGGGTGTGGAAAGGCTCGAGCTCCAAACAGTTACACCTTGAATTCCTATTGCAAAGGAGAGGAAAAAGGATTCAAAAGGGTTTCATGACCCGGATGCCACAAACTAAACAAATTTCCTGGCAGACATGAATTCATACATGCACACATGCATGCACGTTGAAATTGTACGTGTTCAATTTTTGAACGTACTGAGTATTTCAAAATTTTATCTAATTTTAATCTAAATTTTATCTACATCTTATCACATATATTTCAAAAATGTTGGTTAAAGCTGTGCTCTGCCTTCTAGCAGTGAGCTGCAAATGCTCACTAGGGGGTGAAAACCCACCAGCTCCTGCTGCTGCGTTGCCATCGTGCGTCCTCGATGGATGACTGCAGCACATCTAGATTACAGATGATCCCAAATCCCAGGGCGCTCTTTTCTGACTTTGAAAGGAAAATGAGCTGTTTTCTCTTTTGTTTTCCCGCTCCTGATTCCTTCCAAAATCCCACTGCCTTCAAGGGTTCACCTGGCTATGAAATACCAGCCCTAGGTGAGAAAAGACAGTGTGGGACATGGATATCAGGGTGAAGAGCTGCTCTGCAGCTTCCAGACCCTTGCTTCAACACCTCCACAGCCCACCAGCAGACCAAGATCACAGCTGGGCTTGCTCCTTCTGCATGCTCCATCTTTCAGGATATATTTTGGGTAACAAGGCTGATGGAGGACTGTCATTTGCTCTACCATCACTGTCCAACTCGGGGCAGCTCAGGTCACTTAGAGCCACCGGTTCACTTAGGTGCCACCGCAATGTTTATTTTATACATTACACGTTTGCAAACTTGAATCCAGCAGGTCTTAGCTGATCTCTGAGGTGTGGTAAGGCACTGGAACAGGGTGCCCAGAGAAGTTGTTGAGGCCCCATCCCTGGAGGTGTTCAAGGCCAGGCTGGACTGGGCTTTGAGCAACCTGGTCTGGTGGGCGGTGTCCCTGCCCATGGCAGGGGATTGGAACTTGATGATCTTCAAGGTCCTTTCCAACATAAACCATTCTATGATCTTTGCAGACACTGGCTGCCACCAGCCCCTGTCAAAGACCTCCTAAAACCACTATGGAGATCTTTAGAGAAACCTGGTAGGGGCAGGGAAGTGACCCCACAAACTTCAGAGTTTTGCAAGGAATCCCAGCAATTTCCTTGATCTTTTACTACCCCTGGTAAATAATTTATAGGGGCAACTTCTCTGGGTTTTACAGTTCCTTGAACAAACTGCCTCTGAACCCCATAAAGCTGATGGACCAGGTTCTCTCTTTACCTCACCTGGATCAGATGACAGAGCTATGGGAAGCCTGGCAAGATGCAAGAGGGTAAGAGAGGAAAACAAGCAGGTCTTACATCCTTGAAGCAGTGTCAGAAGCTGGGCTGTTCCCCACCATTTATTCTGCCTATGTGTATATTGGCAATAAACCCCTCTTCCTTTTTTTCTCCCAAACAAATTTTGGGATAAATAAATAAACCCTGTCAGCAAAATCTGTGTAAAAGGGATGAGACCCTGTGGATTTGCAGTCCCATCTGGCTGGTGCCCGCCTGTCGCTTGCCTGTGGCTCCAGTTGGATCTCACACATCTCCTGCTCCAGGATCATCCATGCCTGATGCTGCCAACTCCATCCACCAAATATTTATCCCTGTTGCATGCAGACAGAAAAAATACATTACAGAGCTGCGTCTGGGCTTGCATAGCCTTCCCAGGGGAGCCGTGCAGATCCATGTCCCAACACCCACCACTATGCCACAGCACATATCACACAAGACAACAGACCCTCCACCTTACGACTGGCAAAATCTTGACAATTTCAGCCCAATCTGAGGGAAGCAGGCCTCAAATTTTTCCATACAAGTCTCCCGAAAACAGCCAGGTGGACAGAGGAAAGAGATCCTATTTGCAGCCCCCTCTGAAAGACCACAGGTTGAGCACAACCTTGTATTAGCCAGCGGAGAACCCAACAGGACTGCAGCTACATCTCACCTCACTAGACATCAGTGTACCCAGAGCCCAGTGCACCACAAAATCCTATGGAGAGAGATTCCAGCAGCCCCGCAAAGAGACCACACTGAGATGTGTGACTGTAATATAGAGATTGGCCTGAACGGAGAATTGATGGGAACTTCAGGATGTGGAAGCACCAGAGAGACTGGCAGGAGAAGGGTATGGAGATGGTCCAGGTATTGATGGCACCAGCATTAACAGGTCACTGAGATCCCAGCACATCTACATGAAATTTAGCAGGATATATAAAAGCAAGGCAGAGACTGAAGCCAGACTAAAGCAAAGGACGGGTTCAAACCATTGAATTTTGGAGGCAAGATGAAAAATAAAAAACAAGGGCTTGAGGCTTGAGACAGCAGCAAGGAGGCAAAGGATGGAGTCAAACCTAATGGCTCACAGAGGTGGAAAG